ACCAAAGGTGATTCCAGCAAAAACAAAAAAAAAATTAGATTCCAATGATTCTGTGAGTCTGCAAATTCTAAATTTAAAATTATCGATACAAGTTACTCATTTTAAGATAGATGTTCTAGACTTTACAACATGTTTTCTTTCCGGCGCGTGGGCAATACGTTGAACAACTCAAAATTGAAGAATGTGCTCTCAAATTATGTAATTATTTCATCCTACATTCTTTCAATTTGATCTTCGACTTAAGCGCTTACGCAAAACTAGAGATTCTACAGAGCATAAAGACTTCAAAGAGATAGTCTGGGCTGTTGAAAAACCTAGTCAGAATCAAATTCATTCCAGTTCATATGACTTTCAGTTTCACTCCTTTAACGCGATACTATCTTAAGTGGCAAATATCAATTAGAATTACTTATAACAATTGATTTCGGTCTTTTTTCCTTCCACAAATTTTTAAAGCTTTCATATATTTCAAAATGTAAAAGATGCCTCCTTAGCTTGATTAACCAATTCCGAATCCTAACTTCAATCGCTCAGACAAATTTGCTCTTCCGCGATATTTCCAAAGAAATTCTTGGATTTCGAGATTCTATTTCTCTACGGAGTTATCCCCGAAAAACGGAAGCAACACACTTAGAGCAATGGAAAAACACAGAAAATTCCATGCGCCACTACTTCTCAAATAAGAGAAACATTTGAAAGTCACATATCCTAATTTTTCCAATAATCAATATCAGTCTAACCTCGTATTCTCAGAGAGAAAACTGCATCGCCATAAATTTTCTTCACATGTGACACACAGCAAAATTTTTTCACAATGAAATTTAGGAAAAACGTCCAAAATTTAGTTTTCTCGGATGCTAACATAATGTGTAGCTGGGGGAAGACTGCCACGCGCATCAAGGGAAAAAATTAAAGCGTTTGATTCAAGTAAAAAAAAAGAGGGATCAATAATTTTTTCTTCATAGCTCACTCACGAACATTCCTCACCCACTTAACGGCACACACAAAATGAGACACTGTCAACTGTATTTACTGCACGCAATGCCACTTTACTCAATAGGCATATGTAATTTCTTTGCCTACTGCGTAGAAAAAACTCCCTCTCTCCTCTCGTACCGCTGTTCAAACAGTATTGTTCCAATGCGTACAAAACGTCAAGTATCTTGAACGCTTATGATGCACTTCTACTGACTTGGACTTTTTGAGAGAAACCATTTTTGGGAAACTCCAACAAGAAGGGAATGTTCTCGCCAGTGTTCAAAACAAAACGAGGGAACTAGTAAGTTATAAGTTCATTAACGAGCGGAATTTCGATGATTCGATTACTAAACATTTACACAAACGCGTTGTCA